GTTCAAGAATGAAGTGGAGAATCAATTGGGCAGGAAGATCAAGATGCTTCGATCCGATCGAGGAGGAGAGTACCTAAGTCTTGAATTCCACGATTATCTCAAGGAGTGTGGAATAGTTTCACAATTGATGCCACCTAGGACACCACAATTGAATGGTGTGGCAGAAAGGCGTAATTGAACCTTGTTGGACATGGTTCGCTCTATGATGAGTCGTGCTTCGCTATCTATCTCTTTTTGGGGGTATGTCTTAGAGACTGCTACCCATATCCTTAACCGAGTCCCTACTAAGAAGGTTGCCAAAACACCTCACGAGATGTGGACGGGGAAAGCTCCTTCGTTAGCACATATCAAGGTTTGGGGTTGCGAGGCTTTCGTAAGATGAGATACTCACGACAAGCTCGAACCTCGTAGTGAGCGATGTATTTTCATCGGCTACCCGCAGAAATCCTTTGGATATCTCTTCTATAGAGCGAAGGACAATGTTGTCTTTGTTGCGAGGAGAGGAGTTTTCCGAGAGCGAGAACTCATAACCCAAGGAGACAGTCGGAGGCAAATTGAGCTTGAAGAGATTCAAGAGTCGATAGATAAAGGAACCTCTACCGCTGGCGCTCAACCCGAGGAGGAAACTCCGGTTGAAACGATTGACAAATCATTACCTCTTAGACGTTCCGAAAGAGTTAGAGTTCAACCCCATTTGTATGGTTTTCATATTACTACCGAAGGGGACACGTATATTAGTGATAGTACACTAATAAACCTTAATGAACCTAATAGCTATAAGGAAGCCATGGAAGGCCCGGAGTCTGCAAAATGGAAAGAGGCAATGGATAGCGAGATCCAATCCATGTATGATAACCAAGTTTGGAATTTGGTTGATAATGTGCCCGGACATAAGACCGTTGGGTGCAAATGGATCTTCAAGAAGAAGACTAACGTGGATGGAAAAGTACACACGTATAAGGCGCAATTGGTTGCGAAGGGCTTTACTCAAACTCCCGGAGTTGATTATGATGAGACCTTCTCACCAGTTGCGAAGATAAAGTCTATTAGAGCGATGCTAGCAATTGCCACATTTCATGATTATGAGATCTGGCAAATGGATGTCAAGACCGCTTTCCTTAACGGGAAGTTGGCTAAGGATGTTTACATGGCTCAGCCAGAGGGTTTTGTCGATGACATATTACTCATAGGAAATAACGTCCCGACTCTGCAGGAGGCTAATTCCTGGCTCGGGAAGTGCTTCGCTATGAAGGACCTCGGAGAGGCTTCCTATATTTTGGGAATAAGGATAGTAAGAGAAAGAAGTAAGAGACTAATAGGACTTAGTCAGAACACTTACTTGGAGAAGGTACTAAAACGTTTTAGTATGGAAAACTCAAAGAAGGGAGAATCACCGATACAAAGTAATGCCAAGTTGAGTAAGACTCAAAGTCTGAGTATCGAAGCTGAGATAGCTGAAATGAGCCGAGTTCCATACGCTTCCGCAGTTGGCTCAATCATGTATGCTATGACTTGTACTCTCCCTGATGTAGCCTTTGCTTTGAGCATGGTTAGTAGATATCAAGGGAACCCTGGCAGAGCCCATTGGATTGCAGTGAAGAATATCCTTAAGTACCTTCGGAGGACGAAGGAATGGTTCTTAGTCCTCGAGAGAGTGATGACTTGGAGGTGCAAGGATATAGTGATGCCAGCTTTCAAAATGACAGGGACAACTACCGTTCGCATTCGGGCTGGGTCTTTACCATGAATGGAGGAGCGGTAACTTGGAAAAGTTCCAAGCAGGAAACCGTAGCTGATTCAACGTGCGAATCAGAGTCCATTGCAGCGAGCGAAGCGTCGAAGGAGGCAATATGGATGAAGAACTTCATTGGTGATCTTGGAGTTGTACCTGCCATAAAGGAGCCCATGGAAATTTTCTGTGATAATGAAGGAGCGGTTGCCTTGACCAAGGAACCGAGAGATCATGGTAGATCACGACATATAGACATAAAATATCACTTTATTAGACATCATGTAGAAGAAAGACAACTCGTAGTGAAGAGGATATCATCATAAGATAACCCAGCAGATCCGCCTACGAAGGGACTGAGCAGGGTTAAGCACTTGCAGCATGCTAGGAGTATTGGGCTGAAGGATGATATTAGCATAGATTAGATAGTATTAGAAACGTGTAATAGATAAATGTAAATTAACATTTGATGATTAAATAAAGGAGTTTTATTTATAAGTAATGTTACTGTCTTATGTTGATTGTTTAACTATTGTTTCACTTTGCATGTTTTGACTTCCAGAATAATTGAGTTTATTAAGAATAATCGAATTATTTAAATTGTCCACAATCGTTCATATGTCGGAAGTAGATATGAATGAAGATTGTCATGAATAGGTGTGTAGATTGTCTAAATGGTTTTAGATATAGCAAAAGATTGCTGCAACGTTCATGAGTGCTTATGAACTAGTTTTGAGCATTGGAACAAACTCGCGCTTGCTGGAATCACCTTATGGAATGTGATAAAAAGGGTGATCACAAGACGATAATATCATATAGTCTTAAAACCTAGATATATGGTTTTTTATTTGTTAATTGATTGTACATTGATAATGCGAAAACGCATTGGTAACTCGATGTTATAAAACGCATTGTTGTGTATAGTTGATTAATGAATAAGTAAATGCATATAAGTCGAAGTTTATCTATAAGGTGATATCTCGACCGCTCGATGATTTGATTTGACTTATGTGCCGGGCCCGGTCAGAACTGAATTGATGTGTTCGATTAAGTTTTATGTCAAATAAATCGGAGATCGAGAAACCAAAATGCTAGACTAATCATTCCATAAAATTGTCAGCATGATATTTAACAGAGGACTGTACGATCCCTTATCTAAAGGACAAGATTAGATCAGAGTTTGACAGCGTCTTTGAGAGATACGATTGCAAATCGGATTGCACTTGTGCATATAGTTACTACTCTTATCCAAGTGGGAGACTGTTGGAATAGTGTCTAAGGCTGCAACTATATTAGGCAAGTATTTGACCCGATTGTGCATGGTCCTTTTGGGTTGCCTTCACCATAGCAACTTGACAGGATGATTTATTATGAGAGAATAGATATTATTAATATATTACGAGAATAATATAAGGAATAATAATATTGTTATTTGATTAATATAAGTTATAGATTAATTAGTATTAATTTGGTGACTTAAAGATATTAATTAAATAAGAGGGTATAAACTATCAATTGTTTGATAGTTACACTTTGGGCTGTAAATCCTTATAGGATAGAGGGTGGACGATTTCTACGGCTAAGGATAGCCATAAAATCGTCCAAGTCTTATCTTTGGTAAGGATTAGGATTTCTTAGAGTTTAAGTTATCCAATTAGGGTTTAAGGGTGAAACCCTAGGAGCCTTACAAGTATAAATAGACCCCTTGGGATAGGGAAATCGGCACCTCCTCTACAGCAAGGAAACCCTGGCCGATTTCCTCCTCTCTCCTCTCTCTCAAATCATTCTCTTTACTAGTTGGTGTTTGTAAGCCATTAGAGGAGTGACAACTGTGACTCTAAAACTCCAAGATCAAGAAGATCAAACAAGTGTTTCAAGGTAAGCTTCTAACTCTAGTTTTGTATTGTTCTTATACCTAATTAGCCATTAGAAGTCTTGGATTCAATGCATGTTTAATTAGAGAAACCTAGATCCAAGCATTAGGGTTTGTATGTGCACATAGGAATGTTCATATGATCAAAACCCATCATAGGGATCCTTAAATAGTGAGGGTATTAGGGTTATCTAACAAGGAAACCCTAATTTGACTGCTTAGGCCCTAAGCAACCCATGGACTCCCTCCTTAGAGGCCTAGGACGATTTCTAATGGGTTTCTCCATAGAATTCGTCCACCCCTCTAATATGGAGTGCATTAGTTCAATATTCAACTATCATACAATTGACAGTTCTAGTCCCTTAAGTTTAATTAATGTCTTTTAGCCACAAAATTAACTCTTAATTCATTATTGACTAATATTAATTAAACAATATGATTTCTCCTTTAATATATTATTCTCATAATATATTAATAAATCATAATTAATCCTCTCTCTCTCTCTCTCCATAATTCATCCTATCAAGTTGCTTTGGTGAAGGCAATCCAAAAGGACCATGCACCATTGGGTCAAGTACACACCAAAATAGTTATGGACTTAGACACTAATCCGACAATAAGACCTTAACAATGAAAACCTTGGCTTCTTGACCCATTAAGACTACCTACATCATGCATGGAAGGAGAATAATTCCAAGATCATATTTTTATGACTTAACAATTCTTATATCATTTGAAAGGACAACTCAAATGTCTTAGAGTACTCCATAGTCACAAGGATCAAGATTAGGACAAAAAGGTGCCAACTTTAAGCTAAAACTAGATCTAAATGAAATGGTCATCAAGGTTGGAGTTTTATACCTCCAAAAGTTGCACAATGGAGTGTAGATGTTGGATCTAAGGTCTTGAGAGAAACAATACAACTTCAAAGCTCTTCCTTCACCTCCAAAAGCTCTAAAATGGCACTAAAAGACTTTCTAAGCTTCAAAATACACTCACACACTTTAAGGTTTTTGAAATGAGTCAGCATATCATACCACACGCTGATGAGATCTCACAATACTATGTCAGTGAATGTTAGTTTAAGCCCACACTATTAGGTGAGCATCACAAGTCACTTGCTGATCACTTACGTTTATTGTCGTTGATGACCTGCCCAACTAATGTTACTTCATTATCTTAATGGTAAATTTTTGGATGACAAATAAAAGGTCCATCATTATCTTGGGATACGAGTTTTTTGCGGTGATGATCTCTTCAGTCATGATTATGTAAAAGGGAAGAAAAATTTTAGTATAAATTGGGAATACTCCATCCTAGGCTACCTTTACAAGCTACTCAAGCAATTGGCTCTCTCTCTCTCTCTCTCTCTCTCTCTCTTAAAAGGCTTTATCAACCATGATCTTCCTCAAGCTTTCACCATGTCAAAGTCTCTGTATGAATTTGTCTCCAGTGCTAATGTCATTAAAGGTCCTCATGCCCTTGACTCTACCATCATCATTTAAGAAAAACAATGTGGCATTCTCTGATGACATCCCAAAGCAGTTCCAAAACTCAGGAATTAAAGATTTCGTCAACTATGTTAAGAGTTATCCTCTTCGATATGTCTTATATAACTTACAAGATCCATTCTACCCTAAACAAGTTTGTGAGTTCGACTATTCATGCTCTGTTGATTCTGATGCTCAAACCATTACTGGAACCATTAGAGATGGTCAATATAGGATTACTATTGATGTGGAATCTTTCTGAACTACTCTTCGTTTTCCTTAATTAGAAAATTATTCTGAACCTCAGAAGAAAGATGCAAGCCTGTTCGTGAAAGATTATGGTATAACTTTAATCTTCAGTGCACCAATCGTGATCCTTACAAATATACCCTTCGTAAGTGTTTTGGTGTAGGTTGGAAGTATTTAACTATGGTTATTGGGGAATGCCTTGGACACAATACTGGGAGTTTGGATCAACTAAGGGCCCGATTGATACCCATCTGACTAGGTCTGAGTCACCAAATTGGGTTGAGTTGATCAGACCATAGCTATTTGATAGTGTTCTTTCTCGGTAAGATGTCTAGCTCAATAATATGACCCAGTCAGCTTTGTAACGTATGCTGACTGGGAATAAAGACACTCATACCCTTGTATTCTTTCTTCCATCGTTACCATTCTTCCATCGTGATCTAAAAAAAGAGCTGACTCAAACAATGCCACTCCTCCATCAACAGCTCACCGTTATTTCGCTTGTTGCTACCATCTCACTGGTCACTGCCATCTCGCCGCCATCTAGCCACCATTTCACCACCATCTCGCCGGCCAAAAAGAGCTCGCCATCTCGGATCAGTTTCTCACTTTCCCTATCATTCAACCACTATAATTCATCAAAAATAGGTAAGAATCTTCTCCTTTTATGTACAATCTATAAATTCAGAATCCGATTTGCTCAAAAACCCTAAAAAACATTCCTGCAAATCTGAATCCAAAATCCAGTTTTGACGTTGCGCTTCTGTTATTCAATCTACTCTCATGGTTACTATGATTGATCTAACTACTGATATGGAATTCACTCATGTTTTTCTTCCAAAGTATAGATGTATATGTATACAAATATGTTATTCAATTGAAATTTTCAATTTTTGTGGTTATAAAACTTCATATAAACGATTCAACTTGTTTTCTTCTGCTGCAAGCATTGTTTTTTTCTGTTGCTATAAGGCAGTAGCATAATTGTTTGATGGAGCCTTTATTTAGTAGTAGTTAATATTATTTACCTTGTTCTTGCATTTTTTGGTAAATTAATAGAAAAAAAGTCTTGTTTTTGAAATACTTAACTAACTTGAGCTTGAGAAGGTGTACACAGATCATTATTAACATGCCTATTTCAATTCATTTATAATTGGGAGTTTATGGTTTTATGGAATCAACATGAGTGTCTAGCTTCGTAGCATTACCAATCTCATGCATTTTATATTAGGCATATCATAACCCCATAAACTCTATGCTTTTATTAGTACAAAATTATTTATATTTAAAATTGTTTTTGATCATGAAAAAAATTATGATAAATTATTTTAAATATTAATGTTTTAGGATGTTGGTTTGGAATGAGAGTGAGGACAAAACTTTTCTTGATGCATGTATCCATGAACTAAGAACTAATGGTCGTGAGGGTCCTAGGCTTAAGGCATGTTCATGGAAGACAATATGCAAAAAAATGATAAACAAACACGGTAAAGAGGTTGATCAGAAGCAAATGAGAAATCACTATAACTACAACAAATCAAAGTATGTTTCCTGGATGAAACTCAAAAACAAAACCGGCAATATATATCACCCTATAAAAAATAAATTTAATTTGAACGATGAACAATAGAAGGAATAGGGGAAGGCAATATTTTTATAATAAATGCTAGTCTGATTATTTTTATAACGTATACTGATATTTATAAAAATTGTAAACAGTTGAACAAGTTCGTGTTGTCATTGAAAACTAAAAGCCTACTATTCCCTGATCTTTGCAGCTAACTATTTGAAGGGTTGACCTCAACTAGCTTTCAAAGTTAGGCGTCATCTTCTACACTCTCTTGTCCTATAGAAGAGTTTAGTGCCCATGATTTTGATGATGATGTTCCAATGGAAACCTCAACATAACACGTAGGTGAAAGTGAAGAATCTTCGGGGAGTTCAAAAACTAAGGAAGTTAGTGGAAACAAAAGAGTTGGTGGAAAAAAGAGATGCAAGGGCATTAGAAGTTGAAGAGGAGATTGTCAAGCTTGCTAGGTCGTTAGTGGAAAAATGAAAGAATTGAAAAAAGTGAAATGGATAAGGATATTGATGCATGTATGGATAAATTGAAAAAACTGGAATTAGGAGAAGAAGATGAAAGACACAAGACCGCTCTTTTGCTATTTGGTGAGAGTACCGATGTTAGGAAAGTTTGGTCATGACTTTCACCTACTAGTTCTGAGTCGTGGGTGATGGATGCGGGTAGGAAGTTTGGTTACCTTTGATGATTTTTACTAGTTTTTTGTTGCATGACTTTTGGATGCTATGTTTGATGAATTTTTTGGATGTTAATTTGCATGATGTTTACTAGTTTTTTGTTACATGATTTTGTTACTTTGGATGATATGTTATTGGATATTGAATATGACGTTTGTTATTTTACTAGTTTTTTGTTATATGACTTTGGTGCATGAATTTTTTTTATTACTTTAACATGTTATCTAATTGTTTGTAATAGGTCAAGTATGGTTTCTGATGGTGAAGTTGTAGCTTTTCTTTTACTTGTGTTTTATTGGTTGAGGTCAAACTGGCACAAGCTAATTAGAATTCATAGAATTCGAGATAACGATTCAAGCGAGTATGTCTATACGCAAGATTTGATGTATGGAGACCCTACACAATGTTACGATATGATGCATCTTACACAAGAGGCATTTGCATTATTATGCAACCATTTTACCCAAAAAATTGGTTGCAACCTAGTAGGAAAATAAGCATCGAAGAAAAGATCGATATGTTCTTACATGTTATAGGACAAAATGAACGTTTTCGCGCGGTTAAGGGAAGAATTCATCACCCTACAGAAATGATTCATCAATGTTTCCATGAGGTCCTAACTGTAATGATGTGTTTTGCATAATAAATTATAGTACCAACAACTCCTAATCCATCAATACATAACTCGTAACGACATAGACGATTAAAAGAGATTTTTTCCGGAGCAATAGGTGCATTAGATGGAACTCTTGTACATGTGGTTGTACCCATTGATGAACAAATTTGTTATAGATGAAAAGGAAAAGTAGAATGTTTTCAAAATGTAATAGGAATTTTAGATTTTAATATGATATTAACCTTTGTTTGGGTTGGATGGGATGGTATAGCACATGATTCAAGAGTTTTGAAAGAAGTTGCATTCAATTCGACTTTTGGATTTCCATTTCCTCCTCCAGGTTTGTAATCTTTGTATAACTATTATTATATATCTTCTTTATATAATATGTGTCAGACTCATTTGCAGATAAATATTACCTTTGTGACATCGCATATACAAACACTCATGGGTTTATGGCTCCATACCGCAATACTAGGTATTGGTTAGCCGATTTCGAAGAGGAAGACCTTTAACTAGAGAAGAAAGGTTCAATTATGCCCATGCACAACTTAGAAATGTTATCGAGCATGCTTATGGTGTGTTGAAGGTGAGATTCTCAATCTTAAAACAAATGGCCCCTTGTCCTTTTACACTACAAAGAGACATAGTCATTGCTTGTGTTGCGGTCCATAATTTTATAAGGAAATACAATATAGAAGATGACTTGTTTAAATTTTTTGAGGAGAACACTATGGTTACTCCTAGCGTCCAAGGTAGGGGAATTGATAGAGAAAAATACAAGACATAGAATGAGGTCTAGAAGCCATTCAATATATGTGTGTTTTGCGTGATCGTATTGTAAATCAACAAATTTCATTTACTTTACATTAAATTATTATGTTATTTTAAATTTCATTATTTTTTATTTGGATATTAAATGAATTATGTTTAATTTATATTTTGTATGACAATTTTCATTTGGATTTTTAAATGACTTGTGTGTAATTTACATTTTGTATGACAATCTGTATGTTTTTACAATTATTCAGCAACTTCATCTATCACAATATACAACAGCAGGGCAAAATGATCATTTTTCATCAGTCAACACATTCACTCAGATGTATAATCAAACAATTGGATTTCTTACTCAGTCAAGATTTCTTACCCAGACAAACCTTTCCTAGTTAATACTTTCTCACTCAGCAACTATCGAACGGGCCCTAAATCTCTTTATGCAAAGGATTTTGTTTTCTACTGTGTACAACAAAAGACTGCATTTTGCTCAACTTTTTCTTGATTAGGTGATTTATTACATCACTAGGAATAAAAAGCCAGTATATGTTCCATATCCTCGTTAGCTTGGACTGATCTTATCTCATGAGGAAGGCTATGTTGAAAGCCATGGGATTATTATTCCAATTTTTGCCCTCTTCTCAAAGATTATTAATGTTGCTCCGCCTGAAGATGATTTTCTTATTACTGAAAAGATGCAAAAATGGATTGAAAAACCTTACGTGGTTGGAAGGAATGATGATTGCGACAGTGTCATATGTGGGTAGTTGGTCGGTGTGGTAGTAGATTTTGGGTTTGACTTCTTTGAATATGTTAATTAGTGTATAATGGATTGTATAAAAATATGAATGAATATATGCATGAAAATATTAAACTCTAAATTATTGAAATAATATGTTTATTAAACTTTAAATATGGTATTTTTGAACTGTGAATATATCTTATAAAGCATATATTTTTTAAAGGAATCTACAATTTAGAAAAGAGAAATTTGAATTTGTCAAAGCATAATCTATTTTTTTTTATTAAATTTGTATATTTCTATATAAAAATGAAAAAGTATGCGTTCAAAAGTATTACCAAAAAAAGGGAGCTATAATGTATGCTCTATTAAGATGTGAATACGACTAGAAAAATATCATTAAATTTGTTGTTAGATGTAAGCTAGGGAAAGGAGGAGTTCGTTCACAAAATATTAATATTTGATTTGTCCAAAATGTCCTTTATGAAGAAAAAAAAAAGGTTTGTTGAGTACATATCCCTTTTTTTTTATAATATATATATATATATATAATATATATATATTATATATATATATATATATATATATATATATATATATATATATATATATATATATT